TAGGCCAATATCTCTGATAAACATAGATGCAAAAATTCTGAACAGAGTATTAGCAAGTCAAGTAAAACAGTACATTAAAAGAATCATCACCATGATCAAGTGTGATTTATCCCAGGATATAAATAGGTTTCAACATTTGCAGATCAGTCAACAGGATACCACATTAAGAAAACAAAGGATGAAAATCATATGATTATTGCAATAAATGCAGAAAAGGCATTTGACAAGATTCAGTGCTCATTTGTGATTAAAAAACAAAACACCTCTCAAATAAATGGTTATAAAAATAACATACCTCATCATAATAAAGGTGTAAGTGATAAATCCACATCTAACATCATACTCAATGGTGAAAAACTAAAAGCTCTTTGTCTAACATCAGGACCAGAACAAAGACCCCTCTTTTCACTCTTATTCAACATAATATTGGAAGTCCTAACAACAGCAATTAGGCAAGGAAAAGAAATAAAAGGAGTCCAAATGGAAAGAAAGAAGTAAAAGTGACACTGTTTGTGGATGACATAATTTTATAAAATGATGAAAAAAGCTCCACAAAAAAGCTATTAGAAAAAATGAATATGACAGAGTTGCAGGGTACAAAATCAACATATGAAACTGTGTTGCATTTATATATGTGAACAATGATTTAATAGAGAAATTAAGGAAGCCAGTTCTATTTATAAACAAAAGAATGAAATACTTAGGAATAAATTTAACCAAAGGTATAGAAGATCTGAACATTGTTAAGAAATTGGAAAAAATAAATTAATTAAAAAATATTCTCTGCCTATGAGTTGGAATGATTAACATTGTTAAAATATCCATATGACCTAAAAATATATAGGTTCAATTCAATCCATTTCAAAATCACAAGGACATTTTTGACACAAACAACAAAAATTTCTTAAATTTATAATGGAACCACTAAAGACCTTGAATAGCCAAAGCAATCCTGAGAAAAAAGAACAAAGATAGTGGTATCATAATCCATGATATCACCTAAACTACAAAGCAATAGTAATCAAAACAGCATGGTATTTTCAGAGAAACAGACACATACATCAATGGAATAGAATTTAGAACCCAGAAATAAACCCACACTTATACAGGCAATTAATAGACAACAAAGGAACAATAAAAATACAATGGAGAAAGGATAGCATTTCAATAAATGATGTTGGGAAGCCTGGACAGCCACATGCAAAAAAAAAAAAAAGTGAAACTGGACCACTGTCTCATACCATTCACACACAAAAGAAAAATGGATTAAAAATTTAAATGTAAGTCATGAAATCATAAAACTTTGAGGATAACTTGGATGGTATGCTCTTTGACACTGGTCTTAACAATGTCATTTTGGATATGTCTTTTCAGGCAAGGGAAGCAAAAGTAAAAATAAACAAATGGCACTAAAGGTCCGTCTGGTCAAGGCTATGGTTTTTCCAGTAGTCATGTATGGATGTGAGAGTTAGACTATAAAGAAAGCTGAGCACCGAAGAATTGATGCTTTTGAACTGTGGTGTTGGAGAAGACTCTTAAGAGTCCCTTGGACTGCAAGGAGATCCAACCAGTCCATTCTAAAGGAAATCAGTCCTGAATATTCATTGGAAGGACTGATGTTGAAGCTGAAATTCCAATACTTTGGCCACATGATGCGAAGAGCTGACTTATTTGAAAAGACCCTGATGTTGGGGAAGATTGAAGGCAGGAGGAGAAGGGGATGACAGAGGATGAGATGGTTAGATGGCATCACCGACTCAATGGACATGAGTTTGGGTAAACTCCGGAAGTTGGTGATGGACAGGGAGGCCTGGCGTGCTACGGTTCATGGGGTCACAAAGAATCAGACACGACCGAGCGACTGAACTGAACTACATCATCCTAAAAAGCTTTTGTGTAGGAGAGGATACTATCTATAAATGAAAGACAGTCTATTGCATGTAAAGGATATCTGCAAATGATATATTTGATAAAGGGTAAAATCTAAAATATATAAAGAACTCATACAACTCAACAAAAAATAAATAACCCAGTTAAAAATGAATAAAGGACCTGAATAAACATTTTCTGAAGGAAGACGTATAGATGGACAACAGGCATATGAAAAGTTGATCAACGTCACTAATTATTATAGAAATGCAAATCAAAACTACAGTGAGGTATCATGTCACTCCTTTTAGCATAGCTCTTTTTCAAAATACAAGAAATAATATGTATTGTTAAGGATGTTGAGGAAAGAGAAGTCTCATATATTCTTGATCGGAATGTAAATTGGCAGCCACTGTGGAAAACAGTATGGAGAATTCAAAAAGTTAAGAATAGAACTGCCATATGATTCAGCTATCCTACTTCTGGATATTTGTTTAAAGAACACAAAAGCACTAATTAAAAAAGATATATGTACCACTGTGTTCATGTGGCACTGTTTATAATAGCTAAGATATGGAAACAACCTGAGTCCCTATCAGCCAATGAATGGATAAAGAAGATATGGTATACATATGTGCATATGTACACACACACTCAGTAGAATACTACTCAGCTGTCAAAAATGAAATCTTGCATTTGTGACGATATGGATGAACCTTGAGGGTATTATGTAAGTAAGGTAGCCTGATGGAGAAAGAAAAACACCGTATGATTTCACTGATTTGTGGAATATAAAAAGACAAAAACAAAATAGATAAACAGGAACAAATACATAAATTCAGAGAACAGAGTAGTGCTTTACTGGAGAAAGTTGTGTGTGGGGGGGTGTGAACTGGATAAAAAGGATTAGCCACTTCATCCCTTCTCTTGCCTCCCTTTCCTACCATCTTTCCTTCTGTCTCTCTATCTCTTCCATCCATCCACAAACCTACTGATATATATATATCATTACTCTTTTCTAATAAATGGGAATTTAAGAAGTACAGGTATACCTCAGAGATGTTTTGGGTTTGGTTCCAGATTGCCACAATAAAGTGAATATTGCAGTGAAGTAAGTTACACAAATTTTTTGGTTTCCCAATGCATATAAATGTTATATTTATGCTATACTGTATTCTGTTAAGTGTGCAAGCATTATGTCTAAAGCAACAATTTACAAACCTTATTTTAAAACACTTTATTGCTAAAAAAGTCTAACCATCATCTGAGCCTTTAGTAAGTTGTAGTGCTGTCCTCGGAGAAGGCACTGGCAACCCACTCCAGTACTCTTGCCTGGAGAATCCCATGGCCGGAGGAGCCTGGTAGGCTGCAATCCACAGGGTTGCTAAGAGTTGGACAAGACTGAGCAACTTCACTTTCACTTTTCCCTTTCATGCATTGGAGAAGGAAATGACAACCCACTCCAGTGTTCTTGTCTGGAGAATCCTGGACGGGGGAGCCTGGTGGCTGCTGTCTGTGGGGTAGCACAGAGTCAGACACGACTGAAGTGACTTAGCAGCAGCACCAGCAGCAGTGCTGTGCTTAGTTTCTCAGTCATGACTGACTCTTTGCGATCCCATGGACTGTAGCCCACCAGACTCCTCTGTCCGTGGGATTCCCCAGGCAAGAATACTGGAGTGGGTTGCCATGCCCTCCTCCAGGGGATCTTCTCAACCCAGGGACTGAACCCAGGTCTCCTGCAATCCACAGGTGGATTCTTCACTATCTGAGCCATGAGGTAAGCAGTTAGTTGTAGTAACATCAAATATCATTCATCACAGATCACCATACCAAATATGATAATAATGAAAGAGTTGAATTACCAAACTGTGGCAGAGACATGAAGTGAGCAAATGTTGGAAAAATTGCCTTGATAGATTTGATGCAAAATTGCCACAGTCCTTCAATTTGTAAAAAATGCAGTGTCAGTGAAGTGCAATAAAAGGAAACATGATAAAATGAAATATGCATGTACTCGCAGTGTTATCTTGGCTAAAAAGCAGTATTTTTTTTCTTCAGAAGTTCATTCTAGTTACTGCACAGTGAATATATGAGGTATGGGAGCATTTCTAGACGATGATAGATTTTTAGTGCTTGACCTAAAACTTGTTGCTCAGTTTTGGATTGGAAATAATGAATGCATGGTGTATTTTTGATAGCTCAGCTGGTAAAGAATCCACCTGCAATGCAGGAGACCGCAGTTCAATTCCTGGGTCCAAAAGATCCGCTGGAGAAGGGATAGGCCACTCATTCCAGTATTCTTGGGCCTCCCTTGTGGCTCAGCTGGTAAAGAATCTGCCTGCAATGCGAAAGATCTGGGTTTAATCCCTGGATTGGAAAGATCTCCTGGAGAAGGGAAAGGCTGCCCATTTCAGTATTCTGGCCTGGAGAATTCCATGGACTATATAGATAAAATATTTATTCAATACTTTATGAAAATAATTTAGATTTTATATTTTTGAAAAAAAGTAACATCAATTTAAAAATTGTTTCAAAGTGAATAAACAGTTTACAGAATTATCAGGAGGAAAAGGCCAGGTTTGAAGAACTTTAGGTGAACTTTCACCACAATCAAGTGAACTCAGCATGATCTGAATCTAAAACATTATAAACTTATTATTTTTTTTCTGTACCATTTTTTTCTTCTCTGAGTGTGTTTATGTATCTGTATTTAAAATTAAGACAATAATGAAATATCTGCTGTTTGTATTGAGTAATATTTAAGTAAATGAGTTCTTTTTTTGTTTATGTAATTAGCAACTTTTTTATTATACAGTCCTTCCTTTATTGCAATTTTAATAAGTAAATTTCTACATAGATTTTCAACTTTATTTGCTTCAGATTCTTAACTTTCACACCAGGAGACCATAATACTTTTACAGTTTCTGAAAAAAATGACCTGTGATGGGTGTAAAGTTTCTTTGATTGTACTAACATTCTTTTAATTAAATGAAAAAAAAAAAGTAAAATTGAAAACACTATTAATTTTTCACTGTTATTTTGTGGATTTTTTTAAGTCAAATATGACAGATTTTTATTTATTTATTTGATATTTATTATATTTGATTGTGATATGAATGCTCTAATTTTAGGCCTTTGAAGACAATTTAATTGAAGCAAGAAAAGAAATTGAAGTATCACAGAGTAAATATAATGCACTATCATTACAGCTGAATAATAAACAGACAGAACTTATGCAGAAGGATATGGATATTACCCTGGTCAGGCAAGTACTCTGACTCCTTAATTTAATTTGACGTTGTAGAAATGTCCTTAGTTATGTAGAATGCCAGCAGTTTTATATTTATTTTTGTATTTATTGTTAACACTCCCGACTTCCCAGGTGGATCATACGGTAAAGTGTCTGTCTACAATGCTTGAGACCTGGATTCAATCCCTGGGTCGGGAAGATTCCCTGGAGAGGGAAATGGCAACCCACTCCAGTACTCTTGCCTAGAAAATCCCATGGATGGAGGAGCTTGGTGTCCACGGCGTCACAAAGAGTCGGACATGACTGAGCGACTTCACTTTAACTTTCAAAAACACTCCAGAATGACAACAGTGTTTGTCTTCTGTGAGACCTATGTTTGTGTATTGGAACTATCTGGAATTAACTGGGACAGTTGGAGGTTCCACAGGGTTGGAAAAAGCATGCACAAAGAGTATCCCTGTTTCAGATGCATGCATTCATTCATAGTTTCCTTATAAAATTTTTACCTTTGCATTATATAATATTCATTATTATTACAGTGAGTAATAAATGAGTAATCCCGTTTTGACTTTTTATTTTGTGCTGTGCTTAGTTGCTCAGTCATGTCCAACTCTTTGCAACCCCACGGACTGTAGCCAGCCAGGCTCCTCTGTTCATGGCGATTCTCCAGGCAAGAATACTGGAGCAGGTTGCCATGCCCTCCTCCAGAAGATCTTCCCCACCAAGGGATCAAACCTAGGTCTCCCACACTGCAGGCAGATTCTTTACCATCTGAGCCACCAGAGAAGCCCATGTACTAAATAGTTTTAGTTTGTGAAATAATTTTTCTATATCAAAATATTGAATTTTATAGTACTGCTTATAAAGTGGAAGTATCTGAAAAACTTGTGTTTTTAAGTGTTCTGAAAGATTTAAAACTACCTATTTATTTTATAATAACCTTTATCAGAAAATAGTGTTAGAACAAATCATAAAAGTATATATACATATACATAAATGTCATACATGTATACACATGTACATACACATGTACATTTTAAATTTTAAGCTATTTAAATCACAATGTTTATCATATACTTGTATAAGCACAATTTCAGTTTCTGGTGCTACCTGTGAAATATGTCATATATTTATATGCATAATATAATATATGTATTATGTTTATATGTGACATATATAAATGGACAAATTCTTAAAAAAGTATAACTTACCAAAACTGAACCAGGAAGAAATAGAAAATCTTAACAGACCCATCATAAGCACAGAAATCGAAACTGTAATCAGAAATCTTCCAGCAAACAAAAGCCCAGGACTAGATAGCTTCACAGGTGAATTCCACCAAAAATTTAGGGAAGACCTAACACCTATCTTACTCAAACTCTTCCAGAAAATTGCAGAGGAAGGTAAACTTCCAAACTCATTCTATGAGGCTACCATCACCCTAATACCAAAACCAGACAAAGATGCCACAAAAAAAGAAATCTACAAGCCAATATCACTGATGAACATAGATGCAAAAATCCTTAACAAAATTCTAGCAAACAGAATCCAACAACATATTAAAAAAATCATACACCATGACCAAGTGGGCTTTATCCCAGGAATGCAAGGATTCTTTAATATCCGCAAATCAATCAATGTAATACACCACATTAACAAATTGAAAGATAAAAACCATATGATTATCTCAATAGATGCAGAAAAAGCCTTTGACAAAATTCAACATCCATTTATGATTAAAACTCTCCAGAAAGCAGGAATAGAAGGAACATACCTCAACATAATAAAAGCTATATATGACAAACCCACAGCAAGCATCACCCTCAATGGTGAAAAATTGAAAGCATTTCCCCTGAAATCAGGAACAAGACAAGGGTGCCCACTCTCACCACTACTATTCAACATAGTTTTGGAAGTGTTGGCCACAGCAATCAGGGCAGAAAAAGAAGTAAAAGGAATCCAGATAGGAAAAGAAGAAGTGAAACTCTCTCTGTTTGCAGATGACATGATCCTCTACATAGAAAACCCTAAAGACTCTACCAGAAAATTACTAGAGCTAATCAATGAATACAGTAAAGTTGCAGGATATAAAATTAACACACAGAAATCTCTTGCATTCCTATACACTAACAATGAGAAAACAGAAAGAGAAATTAAGGAAACAATACCATTCACCATTGCAACAAAAAGAATAAAATACTTAGGAGTATATCTACCTAAAGAAACAAAAGACCTATACATAGAAAACTATAAAACACTGATGAAAGAAATCAAAGAGGACACAAACAGATGGAGAAATATACCGTGTTCATGGATTGGAAGAATCAATATTGTCAAAATGGCTATACTACCCAAAGCAATCTATAGATTCAATGCAATCCCTATCAAACTACCAACGGTATTTTTCACAGAACTAGAACAAATAATTTCACAATTTGTATGGAAATACAAAAAACCTCGAATAGCCAAAGTAACCTTGAGAAAGAAGAATGGAACTGGAGGAATCAACCTGCCTGACTTCAGACTATACTACAAAGCCACAGTCATCAAGACAGTATGGTACTGGCACAAAGACAGAAATATAGATCAATGGAACAGAATAGAAAGCCCAGAGATAAATCCACGAACCTATGGTCACCTTATCTTCGACAAAGGAGGCAAGGATATACAATGGAAAAAAGACAACCTCTTTAACAAGTGGTGCTGGGAAAACTGGTCAACCACCTGTAAAAGAATGAAACTAGAACACTTTCTAACACCATACACAAAAATAAACTCAAAATGGATTAAAGATCTAAATGTAAGACCAGAAGATATAAAACTCCTAGAGGAAATCATAGGCAAAACACTCTCTGACATGAATCACAGCAGGATCCTCTATAACCCACCTCCCAGAGTAATGGAAATAAAAACAAAAAAGAAAAAAAAAGGCTATGGTTTTTCCAGTAGTCAGGTATGGATGTCAGAGTTGGACTGTAAAGAAAGCTGAGTGCTGAAGAATTGATGCTTTTAAACTGTGGTGTTGGAGAAGACTCTTTAGAGTCCCTTGGACTGCAAAGAGATCCAACCAGTCCATCCTAAAGGAGATCAGTCCTGGGTGTGCTTTGGAAGGACTGATGCTGAAGCTGAAACTCCAATACTTTGGCCACCTGACACGAAGAGCTGACTCATTTGAAAAGACCCTGATGCTGGGAAAGATTGAGGGCAGGAGGAGAAGGGGACGACAGAGGATGAGGTGGTTGGATGGCATCACCAACTCAATGAACATGGGTTTGGGTGGACTCTGGGAGTTGGTGATGGACAGGGAGGTCTGGCGTGCTGTGGTTCATGGGTTCACAAAGAGTCAGACACAACTGAGCGACTGAACTGAACTGGACTGGACTGATAATTATGGTATACACAGATATTTACATATATAGACTCAGTATTTACTTGTATATATTTAGTGTATTGTTTATATATATATGTATACATCTGGGCAAGAGTTTTGCTTGGTTAATAGATTAATATATATTATATATACATTTATATATACACATATGTATCTGTGTGATAAAAAATCCATAGTTTCTCATCTTAAAGATCTTACTATAGGGATGCACATATGTATCTGTGTGATAAAAAATCCATAGTTTCTCATTTTAAAGATCTTACTATAGGGATGTGGAAAAGTATATCTTTACAGATGACAGACTGATTGAATTCATGGTATAATTTTTTTAAGTCAATAATTGATGAAGTCAAAAAGGTAAATCTAAATAGTAATAGAATATTAATTTTACAAGAAGTCTGAAAGTTATTATTTATTCCTATCTTCTTCCCAATAAAACAGTTTTTAGTCTTTGCTTGATGCTGTTAGTTTGTATGTTTCTCAGTAGTTTTTACCACTGTTCTTTTTATTTTGTTTAAATTTTACATTGATTCATGTATTTAGTTGAAATTTTCTGTTTTGAAGTATACACCATTTATCTTATATGCTTGTCTAGGAAATCTCAGAGACAGTCTAATCTTTGTTCTGTAGTTCAGATCTTCAAATAGTATAAGATAACTTTATTAATACTTTTCCCCATTAGTTTATTAATGGCTTTTATTTCTCATAATTTTGCATGTATAAGTTACACAGACATTATATTGTTTTAGGTTGCCTTTCTGAGTGCATTCCCTATTGTCAGAGTTCTCATCATCAACTATTACTACCGGCTAGGCCAGAAGGGCCAAGAAGAGAAGCTTTTTTCCCCTAATTTAATTGGAGGATAATTACAATATTGTGATGCTTTTTGCCATACATGAACATGAATTGGCCATAGAAATACATGTGTACCTTCTCTCCTGAGCCCCCTTCCCACTTCCCTTCCCACCTTATCCCTCCAAGTTGTCAGAGTATCAGCTTTGGGTTCCCTGCATCATACATCAAACTCCCATTGGCTATCTTTTTTCCATATGATAATGTACACGTTTCAGTACTGTTCTCTCAAATTGTCCCACCTTTTCCTTCTTCCATTGTGAGAGAAGATTTTACCAGATCTCTCTGACACGTCTAGCCCTGGGAGGGAGGCTGTCTCATAGAAGTATTCTTAGAGGAACAGAGATACTGCCAACAGTGGGTTAGTGGAGAAGGAGCTAGGAAAAGAAATACTGTGACCTCTTTTCCCTTTACTCTCTAATCTTTGGCCAGCACTTTCAGCTACTCAAATTAAAACACAGAAGCCTGGGAGCCCGTGTAATGTCGTCTGTACAGACTGGCTTCTCAGGCTAGAGCATAGGCTAAGAGTACTAGAGATTAAGTAATATGGTAGAGATGATGAAAATTGGATAAGAGAGTACGTGACGCATTCTCCATTTCTGCTCTTTCACAGGTTTCCTGGGCATTTATTGCTTATTAATTTTTCCATGTAACTTTAGGATAAACTGGCTCATTTTGTGTTTACTATTTTATTAGGGCATCAAATTGAAAAGCAAACTGAAGGAGAATTGAATCTTTATAATCTCAGTTTTTCTGTCCAGAATATGCGATGCCATACCATTTGTTTCAATGCCTTTGTGTCCTTATCAGATGTTTTGTTCCTTGTCTCAGTTTTGACATTTCTTCTTAAATTTACTCATAGTTATTACATGGTTTTTGTTATTATTTTAAATGGAATCTTTCCCATATAGTTTACAACTGATTTTCCTTTTATTGCTTATTAGTTTTTGTTGTGATATTTTCTTTTATGTGCTGTGATTTGGTGGGTAAAGCGTCCAACAGAGTTATTTTGTTTTTACTGTGAATCATACTTTATTCTTTTTTTCTGTAGGATTATTTTTTCCTTGAGTTCTAATTTCTCTGAAATTAATGCTATTACTGCTACTCTTTTTTGTTTATATTTATATGATAACAAAGTACATAATTGTTTTAATACAATGGTACATGTTAATACAGAAAAGTACAAAGAAAATAGGGGGAAGATCATGCTGAAATGCAATCCTGGAGAAATAATAGCCAGTAAAATTTTATTAAAATAATTCTGTGTTTTTTCAATACATATTTATAGATTGAAGAGTAGGCAAACAGGTTTTTAGATAAAAGGGACTATAATTGAGCATTTTTATTTATAAGTAGTAACTTTAGTTTTTATAATATAATGGAATGGGTAAATAAGACACTTATGTTAAATGGAGGGAATTATTAAATCTCAGGTAATTTTTTCTTCTCTATAAGAACCACTAGCCAACTTGCTAAAGTTAAGAAAGAAATGGCATGAGAAAACTTTGGAAGGCGATGTAATTTTTTAAGAAAAAACTACATTTCAGTTTTAGTTGGTTTTGACATCATGCTGTGTATACGTAATACATACATTCAGCCATTTTAACTCCTAATTTTGTGTCTCAAGATGTATAACATTCATCTCCGTGCCCTACAGATACTTAGGTTTAGGTTTTTATACTGCTTCAGTGCACATCAGTAAACTTTCCTACTCATCTGTGTTTATTCCTGACTCAGTGTTGATTCATCTTAAAGGTCCATTTTTACCAAAACCTTCCCTGTTGCTCGAGCATGCTTTCTCCCCCATTAACATCGGATTTAGCCATGTGACTGATTTTGGCCTGTGTAATGAGTGAAAATGACACATGTCATATCCTGGCAAGTGTCTTAGAGAGTCATTGCTTGAATTGTTGTTGTTTTCTGCCCTCTGCCATTAAGAGTGGCCTGTTACTAATGATGCCTACCAGTTCCTGTTTGGGTTTTAGTAGAGGAGAGATTCTGCATGTGTGCACTCAGTCATGTCTGCCTCTTTGCAGTTCCATGGACTGTAGCCTGCCAGGCTCCTCTGTCCATGGAATTTTCCAGGCTAGAATACTGGAGTGGGTTGCCATTTCCTTCTCCAGGGGATCTTCCCAACTCACGAATCAAACTCGTGTCTCTTGCATCTCCTCCATTGGCAGGCAGATTCTTTACCACTGGCACCACCTGGGAAGGCCTAGGATAGGAGACAGGCACATGTAATGTGAAGAAGCAAATTTTTATTTGTGTAACAGTGAGGTTTTTTTAAACTGCAAAATAATCTTGGCACTGTCTGAAACCCTTTGTCAGTCTTTGCTATCAAATCTGATGTCTACAGGAACATTTTTTCATAATTTATCCTGTGGCTCCTTCAGTCCCTTAGCATCACTGTAAATCAGCAACACAGTGTTTTTAATCAACATTCTTCCTGAGATGGGAAGAAGTGTCGTTAGTTCTCAGCATGCTCTCAGCTCAAACCACTTCTTTCTTTATTTTCTTTAGTCTGTGTCTGGAGGAACTTCTCAAGTTTGAACCTACCAATTAGTTTTATTTTCTATAGTTTTAGGTTTCCAAATAACTTCTCTCCTTATGTATTTTACTGCTATTTGATATCAATCTTTCTTAGCAATCCTTCTTTGTGTTATCATTTTCATTTCATCCATTCAACAACTGTCTTATCCCATGTATCCTAGAATACAGAGACTGTGAAGATTAAGTACTCGCTCCTTACTTGAGGGATTCAATTTCATGGCAGAGTTAGTGAGAGAAGAATAATCTAAGGGTCTTTTCCCTTCCTCTCTTGTTTTATATTTTCTCAAGGTATTGTGCCATTATTGATTCTCTTCTCTCCCTTCCACCATTTTTGGATTACTATTTTCTGCAGATCTCAGTTTTTTTAATAGTACAGAAAAGTGCTATAGTCTAAATGTTTATGTCCATCCAATATTCGTATGTTGAAGTTCTGATGCCTAATATGATGGCATTAGGAGGTGGGTCTTCAGGGAGGTGCTTTGGTAATGAGTGTGGAAACCTCACAAAAGAATAGTTCTCTTTTGAAAAAGACCTCCCAGAGCCTCCTTTGCCTTCCACCACTAGACGTGAGGATGTAACAAGTCTACGACCTAGAAGAGAGCCCTCAGTTGACTATGCTGGCAGTCTGATGTCTGACTGACCAATTATGAGAAATAACTTTCTGATATTTGCAAACTACCCAGTCTGTGTTGTTCTGTTAACATCAAAAGGACTAAGGCAGATGGTTTATCTACATGTGTGGGTTTAGGGGTTGCTGTTGTATCTGGAGAGCATTAATATTCTAAACCTCTAAAAAAGCAGAGCTCTGGAATTCTTTGGCAGTCCTGTGGTTAGGATTCGGCCTTTTTAGCTGTGGCCTGAGTTCATTGCCTGGTCAGGGAACTAAATTCTACAAGCCCCATAGCACAGCAAAATAAATAAAACAGATTAAAAAAAAAAAAACCACAGCTCATTTCTCCCGTATTAATAGTCATCCATATTGAACAAGTGTCTGCATATCTTTTATGTTTCTTCTTTCTTTTAAGATTTGTCTTACACGAATGAATCACCAGTTTGGGGTTATAAGTAAAGAAAAGTTTCCATTAAAAATAGTCTCCACATGTGTACCCCAATGTTCATTGCAGCACTGTTTATAATAGCCAGGACGTGGAAGCAACCTAGATGCCCATCAGCAGATGAATGGATAAGAAAGCTGTGGTACATATACACCATGGAATATTACTCAGCCATTAAAAAGAATTCATTTGAATCAGTTCTAATGAGGTGGATGAAACTGGAGCCCATTATACAGAGTGAAGTAAGCCAGAAAGAAAAACACCAATACAGTACACTAACGCATATATGTGGAATTTAGAAAGATGGTAATGATAACCCTATATGCAAGACAGAAAAAGAGACACAGATGTATAGAACAGACTTTTGGACTCTGTGGGAGAAGGCAAGGGTGGGATGATCTGAGAGAACAGCATCGAAACGTGTATTATCAAGTGTGGACAGATCACCAGTCCAGGTTGGATGCATGAGACAAGTGCTCGGGGCTGGTGCACTGGGATGACCCAGAGAGAGGGATGGGATGGGGAGGGAGGTGGGAGGGGGATTCAGGATGGGGAACACATGTAAATCCATGGCTGATTCATGTCAATGTATGGCAAAAACCACTACAATATTGTAAACTGATTAGCCTCCAACTAATAAAAATAATTGGGGGAAAAAATGTTCTCCAAAGTATGCACTGTGATATATATTTATATTTTTATATGACATATCTTTATAAATATTTTTCTCTTCAAGTTTATTTTACAAAACGTGTTCCAGTTTTATATGTGGTGGATTCACCACTACAGAAATCTGGAACCCTGTATCGAGAGGTATGGTTTTCTTGGATCCTTATGCCATGCATACTATCCCTCCAGTTCATTTGTCCTTCTACTGACCAAGTTCACCCTGGGTGGGGTGGAAGAACTGATTACACCTTGTATTGCTCCCCTTCCTTCTGATGTTTTTGTCTCATCATTTCCTACAGGCTCATTTAGAGGAGTCACAGGAATCCCAGCTCAGGCCCCTGAAGTTGCAAACTAGTTGTGCTTTAAGAAATTTTTGTTTGAAAACTGAATTTACCTTTGGGATTGTTCTTAATACATTTAAAATTCTATATAATATAAAATGAACATTGAGTTACCCTATCAGATTTTTGGCATCAGTGTGTATCAGTTCTTAGAGCTGAAGTGTAACTTAATTTCAGTAAGAAGGTAGTACTATGTCTGTATGTTGAGGACTTTATTATGATCAAGCTATAAAAGAAAACTGATAAGTATTTGGCTTTGAAAGTCATAGTGCCTCTATCAATACTTTCTAGGTATATGTGATAAATAGTAAATACTTTATATGTTATTTCTCTTAGTAACATGTTTGCCTGCAGTAAAACTGGAGGCTGATCTGTAACTTTAGATGAACACAGTTATTTAGCTGAGATGACTTTTATTCATGCTTCTCTCTATTTATTGCTTGCTTTGCACAGGAAGGAGTTGCAGGAGCTACAGAATCTTTACAAACAGAACAGTGCACATACAGCACAGCAGGCCGAGCTGATCCAGCAGCTGCAGGTTCTGAACATGGACACACAGAAAGTCCTGAGGAACCAGGAAGATGTTCACACTGCTGAAAGTATATCGTATCAAAAAGTATGCTTTTATTCTGTCATAAAAATGTAAATTTATATGCATGAACTTATAAAAATATATAGAATTCAAATTTTTGCACATTTCAATATTTCTTTGTTACTCCCTTTTATTTGCTTCTTCAGAATTAAAAATGAAATATGGTTCAATTCAGTAATATTTAAAAGGATGTGAGTTTTCTTTATGGCTGTTAAAGCTGAAACATTTAAAATATATATGCAAATTTATTCTGTAGAATATTGTTTTTATAAATTGGAGTTTTGATATCTACTATGAAACATACTAGGACTGCAGCCTGTAGACCAGGAAGGATTTGGGGAATGGAATTAATTCATCAAGTACGATTCTAGTTTATGACCTAAAGCAGTCTTTCATTACAGAATTTGTACGTTATTTTATTGGCAAATCTGCACAAACACAAATGGGTATGCTGATGAGGTCTTCAGGATCAATATTTGCCAGGGATTTTTCTCTCTTTATTTTGTGTGTTTCCTTTAAGTAGTCATTTTACTTTATAGTTGTTTAAGGAGCCCCTCAAGAAGTCTTACCCAGCTGAACAGGTATGCTGACTGATTCAGCAGCAATAATTATAGCTAGTAATTAAAAAATGCTTTTATTGAAGTTTTGTTTAGTATACATGTTTATAGAAATGACTTAGTTTCTGCATAGAGCAACCCTCTGAGATTGATGTTATTTCCTCTCAATAGTTGAGGCAGCAAAGGCTTAGAGAGGTTAAGCAGTATAATCTATGTTACTTGTGAACTTTTTTCTATTTAAACTTACTCTTTTTCCAGAAAATGCACTGTGAAAATTCAGTATCAATAATTAATATGAAATGAAACTATTAAGTAAACCTTAAACTTATGATGCTTCAAAACAGTGATTTTTTGACTAAATTCTGTGTTCCCTTCAAGTTTCCTTCAGGAGGTAGATCGTACCACACATTAGGGTAGTGCCCATCCTCTTTGCTTTGAATAGAATCATTTTGTCCTTTTGTTTTATATGGTGGGATTGCCCATTGTGTTTTGGTTTCTAAACCAGACTTCTTTGCTAAATTGACTTGAAAAATTAGACATTATTAGTTAACTTCAATTTTTTCTTTTTCACAGTGTATGAATTTAACACAAACATTTCTCTCTCTTAATTTTCCATTGCAAGCCCCCAACTCATTGCAGTTTGTGTTAAAATGTATCTTTAGAGTTGCTTGTTGTTAAAGTTCATAATCCTTTTCTCTAATGTGTAAATACTTTTGGTGTTTCTCCTCTCAGCAAGAGAGAACTTGGTAAGGTGGAAGAAAAAGGCAGTATTTCTTTTGCTATTTACTTTTTCAATCTTTTGTTCTAAGAGTCCTTGTTCAGTCTTAACTTAAAATTTAAGATAGTTTCAGCCTTAGTTCTACTTTTTGGTTGATTTTCCTTAGCAGCCTTTGCAGAAAGCAGTCATTTTTTAAATAATAAACTACCTGAGAATTTTTATAGATTCAGTATCATTTCACATAACTGAATACTTAAACATTTTTATTTAAAGTGATTATTACCATAGTAATACATGCTTGTGATAAACTTTACAAAAATACAAAGGTGTGTAAAAAAAAAAAGTTCTTTGTCCTTCTGCCTGAAGCCCTTGCCCCAGACTTTACTGCTCTTAATATTTGAGAGTGTATGCTAGAGTTCCTGTGGAAGAACAGAATTATTTTAAAATTATGTCAGCTTTTAAATTATATAAAATTTACATGAATATATTGTTATAAAAGTTGAAATGATATAGAAGTACTGATAAAGCTAGTGCAGCAGTTTGAGTTCTCTTCCGTTCAACTCAGTTCATTTTGTTTCCCTCCCCAGGGGTAATCATCTGAATAGTCATTCCAGACCTTTTCCATGTATTATATACTGTGTATCTGTGTTGCCTATACACATATCACCAATCAAACCGTTAGATATTTTAAATGTTAATTTGCCCTTTTTACTGTTGTTAAACTTGTTTTCAAATAATATGCTTTGGTTCTATTTCCATGGTGGTATGTATAGCGCCTGCTCTCCTCCTCCTCCTCTCCATGCTCCAGTAGGTGCGTGTAAAGTACACTGTGGTTTTACCAGCATTTAACTTGATTGCTAAGGTCTCCGTCTTCAAGTTTTTGTTATTATATACGTCCCTGTAGAAAGAGGTGTTCCCCATTTCTTTGACAGCATCAGTTTTTCCCTACTGGATCATTTATAACTGTATGTATATATATATATGTAACTATATATATACAACTGTATATACACACACACGTACACATATTGTTATGTTTCTGATTTGCATGGAAGACAGAGCAATTAATCAACAGCAAAAAACCTTTGTTGACCTTACTATATCCCTTTCCTTCTCTTTCTTTCGCTCCTTTTCCAGCAGTATTCCTTGAAAGAGTTATTTTGTCTCAAAATTCTCTTCCATTTTCTTTTGAACTTATTCCAATCAAGTCTTTGCCACTTTCACTTCACTAGAATTCCTTTTCTCAGAATCATTTGTGTCTCCCACATTGCTAAATTCAGTTGGCTTCTAGCAGTGTTCATCTTGCCTCACTTACCAGCAACATTGTCACAGTTTATAACTCTGTCCTTTGAGACACTTTTTTTTTCTCCTGCCTCACAACACATCACAGTTGTGTGGTTTTGTTCCTTCAGTGTCTTAACTGTTCCTTTTCTGTTTCTTTCTAGTCTTCCCTATTCACCCTGTCCTCTAAATATTAAAGTGTTCCAAGTCAAAATCTTAGGATCCTTTTTTCCCTCCTATTTAAATTCATAACCAGGGTGATTTTATCTACTCACCTAGGCTTTCAAAATCACACTGCTCTATGCTGATGACTACTAGTTTTGATTGCCTACTCTGGATTTCTTCCATGAACTCTAGGAAAGAGTATATCTAATTGCCCACTTATCATCTTTTAACTCGATGCCTAATGGGCATCTCAAACTTCACGTGTTCAAAACTAAACTATTGTCTGCTCTGCCTTCAAAGCATGTCTGGGATCCTACTACTTCCCCCTGTTCCTGCCATGACCACTAACTTGTATTTCTTGAGTGATTGTAATAGTTTTCTACTTTGTTTCTTTGCTTCTGACCTTATATACTTTGAGTTCATTCTCAACATAAATGCCAGAATGTCCTTGCTGAAACTTGGTAAGTCAAATATCAAGTCAGTCCTCTCTTTAACTCTATTGGTTTCCTGTCTGATTGAAAGTAAAATCCAAGTTCTCACTACACCCTGTGAGATGCTACATGATCTGGCTCTGCGTTAATCTCTGATCCCCTCTTTACTTTCTCTTCTTAATCTCTCCACTTTGACCATGTTTAACTTTGTTTTTTTGCCTGAACATACCAGGTATTCTTCACCTTCAAGGTCTTTGTATGTGGTTCCATTGCCTGAAATTTCTTCCCCCAGTTATCTGCATAGATGACCTGTTTACTGTCTTTTTTCTTAACCTCTCATAGCTTAAATCTATTTGATAACAGGCATTAAATAGGAAGTGTAGTAATGATACATGTTCTAATAGTAGTAGGAAGAATGGGAACATACCTGGGGTAGGTTATTAGTTTAGGGATACAAAAGGACTCTCCTTGATGAAGTGATATCAGTGATGTTTATTCTGAGAAGATAAGACATCAATGAGACAGATTTCTCATAACTCTTTTGTGTGAACTATGGCCAAAGCCAAAAATTTCCTAGTGAGTCAGTGCTTTTAAATTTGGAGAGGTAGAGCTTCTACACTCCTATTTGAGGGGGTGGGTATATGTCATAACCTGAACTTTGATCTGACATACTTTTGAAACCACATATACCTTCCCCCCAGGATTATGACTGTCCTCTCCAAGAATCATTATCTATAATAATGAGAGATGTGATGCAAATATGTTTTGTTTATGAATAGCATGGAGGCAGATGTATTATTTAAGCTGAGGTATGAATGTAAGTTACCTCCAGCAACAGTATATTAATAACAGTTAACATTTATTGAGCTTACAGTGTATCAGCCACTGGGAAAAGGGTTTTTGCCTCACTATTTAAGCCCCACACCCACCCTGTGTGGTATATTACTATAGGTATCCTTTTTTTAAAAAAATAAATCTAGTAACTGAGTCTTAGAGTATTGTCTAAAGTCAAACAGCTACCAGGGGCAGAACTCAAATCTAGCTAGTTTCGAGTTCAGAACTCACAATGTTAAACTGTATTATAAAGCCTATAGAATATTCAGTTATACATAAATAATGTGGTTTTGTCCTTAAAGCATCTGTAATAGATTTTATAAGCTTGCATTATTCATTCTACTCAAAATTCTTTCAGTGATTAATATCTTTTAATGTTGGAGAATTTGTCTTGATATCTAAGTTAAATGTTATTCAAAAAAATTCCATTGCATTCTTTTTAATGAAAGGGGAGCCTAGCCTATTACCATCCTCTGTAAAAAGAGCCCTTACCATTATTCTTTAGCTAGTGTTTCTTGTGAGTGTACAAATTTAATTTTCTCTATTTTTCTATAGCATTGCAGCTTTAAACTTTTTGACCTGCAGATTTTTTTTTATTAGACTTGGTCCCCCCACCCCGAAAATATTTCAGCTATGGAATTAAGGATTTATAAATTTGGGAATGATCACATTATTTTATTTATCATGAATAAACAGTATGCTACTTTTCAGATTTCCAGTGTTCATTTACATCAAACTTTCATTCTAATCCTAGAACATTTTACTTAATGCTTTATTTCTTTTCCACATGTAGTTTTCTAGATTTTTTCAATAAATTTGAGTAATCAAGTAGTTCATACAACACTGAAAGGAAATTGTTTACTTACAAATTGAGATTTGTAAATATGTTTTCACATAAATTAATTGGACCTAGCTGTAAGACTCAGGTGAGTTGAATTAAAAAAAATACTACATTAATATTTTATCTCCAGTTTCTCCTAAGTTTACTTCTTTAAGAGTTGTGTCTTCTTAAATTTCTGTTTCTAATGGAGCTTCGCTGTTTCCTCTGTTCTCTTAATTCTCCTATCTTTTCCCCCTCTCATTTCCCTTCCTTTTTTCTCACTTATTAAGGTGATTTATATTATAGTATTTATTTTATTATCTAAGAAAACAATTGCCTTCAGTGATAGGATAAATGGAATGAGAAAGGGAGACAAAAGTTAGAAGAGGAAAGAAAAAAATTTTTGAGTCCAGGGAAAAGGTTTTTCACGAGGTCTCCATAACAAATTGTTAGTCTTATACAGAGAATTACCTAACACATAATTTGGGGGCTTCCCTAGAAGAGAATACCCATCAAGAGAAATAAAAATAAGCTAGTATGTTTTCTTCCTTTGAGCATGCTGTAACCATTTATATAAGTTTTAATAGTTTTCCTGCCTTTGCATGTCATCTATATATGTGTGAGTGTGTGTGTGTGTGTGTGTGTGTGTGTGTGTATGATTTAAATATAGATGAAAATTGTATCAGCATTTTCATCTTCTTGATTATCTAACATGTTTGGAGGTACTAAGTATGTATTTTATCAGTTTTTATTCTGTTTAATGATAATTACATGACATGAGTAATGAGCTAATATCAGTCCAGGAAAATAAAGAGTTAGGTTATATACACTTTTAGATTAAATTGCATATTAAATCAGATTCTTTTCTTCTCATTTTGTGCTATAAACAGATATAGTTTTCACTTGTAAAATTTACTGTCTCAGTCAGAATAGTAAATAGTATACTTACTCAATAGTGTGGAAACTATTCTTCTTGAAATTTGATCATTAGGTCCCAAAGCTTATACATTTCCAAAATTTTTAAGGTAAATAATATATCATCTTGTTCCTCAACATTAATAAATATATGAGAGGATGAGTACTTCAGTCTAAGCCCCTGAAAATTAAAGGGCTTGGGGTGTGGGGTGCTATCTCTGGAGGCAACTTGCTTTATGTCCTCTAGTGATCCTGTTAATGTTTTTTCACTTTAATTTCTTCAACAAAAAAGCATGTGAAGAACAGTAAGTGTAGTAAATTGTTATGTATTATAATGATTGATACTTCTAAAGTACATATGGGGATCTATGCTTAAATATTTATAGGCCAGAATCTTCTCAAAGATTCTGATCTATTCCAGCTTTTTGGACTATTAGAGGAAAGTATTATAGAGAAAAGTGTGTCTCTGGAAACTTCTGAAAGTGATTGTGATTGCTAATAGAGAAAAAGGATGCCTATCAGGATTCCAAAACCTATGCAGATGAATGCATTTTTTGTGTTCGCTAATATACTCACTTGAGAACAGTTTTTTTACTCACTCTGCTGTTATTAATGGTTTGAGAGTAAGATGGTGTCTAACAATGGGACCAAAGCATCCTAAACCTTGCCTTTCTGCAGGATCTCCTAGAGAAACAAACATTCTGTCATCCTGAGGCTTTGTTGCCAAAAATGCTTTAGAAATAAAAATAGCTTCCTTGAAGGCTCTTCTGGTCACGTTTACTGGTGGTCTGGAGACTAGAATTAAAAATGGCTGTCTACTCAAACTCCAGAGCTGAGTCATCTTTTTGCTGTTAAACAAGTGAAGTGCCATCAAGAAAAGAGCAAGTAGGAGATGTGTATTTTGAGTAAGAATTAGGGAATAATAGAGTTTGTCCCAATTCATGGAGTAAGGCTGGTCTAGATCATCTGTTTCAGGTTCTTAAAAGTTTTTTTCTTTTTTTTTTTTCTCTCTTCACCTGCTGCTTGGAAGGATGAATATTTTCAGAGAATGTAGAGCTTGCCTTTGTGTCTAGAGTAACCCACCCAGTCATATATCAAGCCAGGGCAGCTTCTGAATAGGAAGTACAACTGTGTAAATTTAATGGCTGAGAGAGCCAAATAGCAAACACAAGAGGAGAGCTGTTAGTCTTCAATTTTGTGGAAGCAAGAAAGGAGAGAAGAGACAAGAGATATGAAGATAGAGCTTTTTCCCATGAAGGAATAGGCCTAGGAGCCTTACATCTGTGAAGGAAGGTCCTAAGTCATGACACGCAAGAGAAGAGTACGCCACATTTACAATTGGCAAGTAAATTGGTCCTCCTTCCTGATGACATACCATCATTATGCCTGCTCCTTGGGCAATGGGATGGAAACTGTTGCCAATCCTAACTGATGTTCCTGAGATTCTTAAATATTTGAAATCTGTAGATTCTTATTAGAATTTTACTGAGGTGTAATTTGAAAACTGTATGTTTTAAAGTAATATTATGTCCTGTTATTTTCCTCCAAAAAGTTGTGCTGATTAGGTAAAAACTGCTTAGTATTGGTAAAGCATAGAAATAAGAGGGAAAGGGGTTAAATAATCTTTAACTGAATAAGTGACTCTCTATGCTATTGGGCATTCATCCTAGCTTCAGTTCTTTCTGGTCAACTTAGTTCTTGTCTTTAGAGTTTGCTTTTTTCTTTTCTACCCTGAACTCAATCATGGAAGCAGCAACACAGCACAGGTAGGTCACTGTAAGGCCCAGTCTAATCCCTCCATCATTCCACAAAGCTGTCAGGTTCCTACTCTTTCTTCCCTTCTAGAATATCCGGTGGTATCAGCTGTGGAAAGGACATTGGACATATTCCCTGGTATAAAGGTAATTGGGAGGGAAAGTACAAACTTTTATCCTGCAATACTTTGTAAATCATAAAGACAACCCTTTCTTTATAAAAATTATTTTAGACTGACTGTAATGTGAAATGGGTTATTTAAAGTATTTTTATTGATATAGAAGTATAATCTTTACAGAAAATAAAAAGTAGATTGAACTAATTGTATATTAGAGGAGTGGTTTAGAGGGTCTTATTTTTATGACAAAGTATATATCTGAAGAAAAGCATTTAAAAAAAGATTTCACAAATTTTTCTTTTAAACTTAAAAAGTAAACTATTGCATATAAACAAAATATTCTGCCAACTTTTCTGTAGTTAAATTTCTTCACATGAAGCAAGGCCAACTAGTCTAAGATTCTCCCTGTCTTCAACTGGATAAGCAAACCTAAAAACCTATTGTATTAACATAATTTTGAAATTCTGTCTTTGGGGGTTTTGCTTTTGTTATAACCTCATTGACTCACTATTAGCCCTATTTTTCAATTTTAAAGCAGATATAATTCTTGGGTCACATTCCCAGTGTCATCAACAAATATGTATATATGTGTGTGTATATATATATACACACACACAGATTTTGAAAAAGTCAGAATCAGCTACTACAAATTGAATTATATATCATTAAATCACAATCATAAGTTAGGATTTTCATCACCAAGTAAGTTCGTATGTATTGGAAGAATACCATTGTTTACCATGTATGACTCTATGCCACCAGGTATATACCTTATACTGTCTCACAGTCTTAAGAAACCCTCAATATAAATTTATTTAATTCATGTTGCCTTGAATTAAAAAATTTTAAAACTATCTGTCATCACTTTGGAACACTGATTCTATTTTTATCACTCTGATCAAGGTCTTCAGTGATTTCCTGTTTTCTACAGGAACAAATCCATCTTCCTTAATCTGGCATTCAAGAGTCTTTGCATTCCATCTACAGTCTCATTGGCTGGCTTTGTCTCCTACTATTCCTTCTGCTGCTCCTCCTCTACTTTAGCAGTAGATGCTAGTTTTACTAAATGGGAATACATCAGTCAACTTTAATGAACTCTTAGTGAAAGTTTATTTTTTTTTTCTTTCAAATGTATATTTTGAGTCCAGTTAGGCTAATATAACTTATGTTCCTTTTCTGTTCCTTCCTACCACTGGACATAATTTTTTTTTTTTTAGCATTTATTCTATCTTTAGAATGACTTGTTTTCATTCAGTTTCTGTGATGTCGTTACGGTTTAGTTCAATTCCATTCTTTGTCATGAAGATTAATATAGCTAGATTAAAATGTTTACATGCCTATATTACAACTGGCTAGTAAAATATACTGTCTTTTTAACATCAGTTGGAGTTTAATATTGGCATGTGGGTATATCATTTGGTTTCCCATTTGTTTATACATTGCTTTTCTTCTTAGACTATTAACTTGAGGGCAAGGAGTATGTTGTATATAGACATTTATGAATATGTTTGTATATATATAGATATATTTATTGATTATTTATAAATTTGGATTTTTTTAAAAAACAGCTTTACAATGAATTACATATTTGTTTTGAAACCACAAAATCAAGTGAAGCTATGCTCCGACAAAGTGTTGTTACTCTTCAGGATCAACTATTTCAAAAAGAGCAAGAAAATGCTAAATTAAAAGAAAAGCTTCAGCAATCACAAGAAGCACTCTATCCTTTATCTCGAGAATGTGATTCAGACCGCTCAGGACAGGTGAGAGACATTTTCTAAAAATGTTTTTTCAGTTTAATATCATATTAAAGTATTTACTACAATTGACTGAAACACAAAAGTTAAATAAATTTGCATATATTAGGATATACGTGGCAGATTTACATTGTGCTTTTATCATACACTGTAGAAATGAGTATTTTATATGGTGTGGATTCATGTAGAAATACAGGGTGTATCTGGTAGAGTTATTGGGTTGAAGCATTTGGCTGATATATGATAATGAAAAGGAAATTAATAGGTCATGCCCATCTTGATACTTTTTATTCAGTGAGGTAAGGGAATAAAAATCCGGAGGTCTCATAGAAGTACTTGCCATAATTCCTGGTGTGTGGTGAGTGAGTGAGTACTGTGAAAGTTGCTCAGTTGTGTCCAACTCTTTGCAACCCCGTAGACTATACAGTCCATGGAATTCTGCATGCCAGAATACTGGAGTGGGTAGCCTTTCCCTTCTCCAGAGGATCTTCCCAATGAGTTAATACCATTTAGTCTCAATTCTGTCAGTACCTTGATATATGATTTGGGGCAGATCAGTTGACTTTCCTACCTATTTCCTGTCCAATGAAGTGAGGTAGTACAAATGTACAGATAAATAAGCAGGTTTAGGATTCAAATAAACCTGGGATCAAATTGTAGCTCTGCTTGTGAGCTTTGTGAACTTGAACGCATTTCTTAACCCTTTTAGCCAAAGTTTTTTTGCAGATAAAATATTGATATTAATGCTTTGTCATAGAGTTTTGTGAGGATTAATGAGATAATGCATGTCAAACACAGAGCTTGTCATATAGAAAATATCCAGAAGTACCTCTTTCAGATAATTTTCAAGGTAACTTTCAGCTCTAAATACGTATTATTAAAAAATCTTACTCTTGTTAGTTTATTTAATGCACTCGGCCTTTCTTTTAATTTTAGAATTTAAAGAAATGAAATTAACACAATTATATAATTGGAAGCTTTAAAGTTTATTGGTGATCCTTTAACAATAGTTTTTCAACTCAGCATATTTTGCCTAGCTAACAAGCCGTTTTTAAAATTTGTATTGTATTATATTTTATTTTTCGGACATCAGGTGCACAGAATTTGATTAGTCATAAAATTTGTATCATGACACAGTATTATGTTACATGAGGTTTATTTATTTTAATTTATTAAGTTTATCTAATTGTCACTTTTTTTATTACCCTTGGTGCCACCAACTAATCCAAGGGTAGGAAATTACTGATAGCTTATATCTACTTGTATCCTTCACGCTTTACTGGTACCCTGATTCTCTCACCAGAGGTAACTACTGAACTATTTATCATTTTGATTATTTTTTATAAAGTTTTATTCCATAAAATTTTATGAGGAAGTAGAATATGGCTGTTTTGCCATTTATAAAAATGTATTAAATTGTGCTGTTTCTTGGGTTTTGGCAATTTTTACTTATCACTGTATTAAGATTCATCTATGATGTTTAGTATAACTGTTCATTTATTTTTACTTCTATAAAATACTTTCTGTGATTATATCATAACTACTTAGCCATTCATTTGTAGATGAGTATTAGGGTTATTTCCAGTTTTTTGCTATTATGAATAATGCTTCAGTTGACATTTTTGTACATGATTCTTAGCATACACATGCAGAATTTTTGTGAAATAAATATCTCAGAATATAAATTCTAGGTTTAGGGTATGAAAATGTTACTTTCACAAAATACTGGTCACTTATTTTTCAAAGTGTTTTTCATCCATTTTACTTGTACCAATAATGTATTTGGTTGATTTTCATCCTCACCACTTGGTATTATCAGAAATAGTTTGTTGACAGCTGCTGAATTAGTATAAAATAATATTATTTTTATCATCATATATTTATCACTGATAAAGCATATTTTTGTGATTACTAGCCAAGTGAGTGCCCTCTTCTGCAAAGTGTCTATTTCTGTCCTTTATCCATTCTTCTATTGGTTTTTTCTTACTGATTTTTAAATATTCTTTTAATGTTTTTGATATTAGTCTCCACTAGGTTAAATGTGTGGCAGCTATCTTCTCTTAGTGTGTACCTTGTCTTTTCATTTTCTTTAACATGTCATACAGGAACAGAAATTCTTAATTTTAATTTAGAAAAAGTAATATTTTATTGTTAGTGCTCATTTAAGAAATCCTTTCCTACTCCAAATACGGAAATATTTGTATCTATGTTTTCTTCAAAAAGTTTTAAAGCTTTGCTTATGTCATTTAATTTATAAATCATTTGGAATTGTGTTTCATGTATAGTTTAAGGTAAGGATGCATTTTATTTACTTATTTTTCCCCAAGTAATAGTGGATCAACCCACTGGATGATCCCCTTTTTTCCTGTGTAGTGTTGGGCTACCTCTATCATATATCCTATATTTTATTTACTTTCATTGAATATTTTATTTTATTTAGACTTTCTTTCTAGACTGTTTTCTCTGTATTCTTAGACAATGCTACATCATCTTAATTAGCATAACTTCATAGTAAGTCTTTATATTTGATAGATCTAATTTCTCACTATTCTTTCAAGTGTCTTGGCCATGTTGGCACTTAGCATTTAAATGTATCTTTAAGGTTAATTTATAGTTTCGTGAAAACACTGTTGAGATTTTTTGTAAACAGTTTTATTTAAGGGTAATATGCAAATAGTAAAGTACAAACCTTAAGTGTATAACTCAATGACATTTCACAAATTGAACACAATACACATAATACTATTCAGATCAAGAAATAGAATATTACCAATATTCAATAAACCTCCATAATGTTCATAATAAGTAGCAACCCCTACAACATAACCACTGTTTTCACTGCTATCATCGTTGATCTAGTTTTGCTTATTTTTGAAACTTAATAGTATTTCACCTTTAAACACTCTATATGCTGTGGGTTTTTTGTAAATATCCTTCATCACATTAGGAAGTTCCTGTCTTTCATGGTTTGATGGAAGCTTTTCATAAACAGGTATTGATTGTATAGAGTGCATCTTTTTTTAAAAATTATTTTTTATTGAAGGATAATTGCTTTACAGAATTTTGCTGTTTTCTGTCAAACCTCAACATGAATCAGCCATAGGTATATATTATCCCCTCCTTTTGAACCTCCCTCCCATCTCCCTCCCCACCCCACCCCTCTAGGTTGATACAGAGCCCCTTTTTGAGTTTCCTGAGCCACACAGCAAATTCCTGTTGGCTATCTATTTTACATATGGTAATATAAGTTTCCATGTTACTCTTTCTATACGTCTCACCCTCTCCTCCCCTCTCCCCATGTCCGTAAGTCTATTCTCTACGTCTGTTTCTCCATTGTTGCCCTATAAATAAATTCATCAGTACCATTTTTCTAGACTGCATATATATGTGTTAGAGTACAGTATTTATCTTTCTCTTTGACTCACTTTACTCTATAATAGGTTCTAGGTTCATCCACCTCATTAGAACTGACTCAAATGCGTTCCTTTTTATGGCTGAGTAATATCCCATTGTGTATATATACCACAGCTTCTTTATCCACTCATCTGTCAATGGACGTCTAGGTTGTTTTCATGTTCTAGCTGCAGTAAATAGTGCTGCAGTGAACGATAGAATACATGTGTTACAGTGCATCTTTACAGTGATGCTAAGGCTTTTCTTATGTATTCTGTTAGGTGGTTAATTACATTTATTGTTTTTCAATTATTAATTCAGTTTTGTGCTTTTGAAATAAACCCAACTTCATTGTAATATTTTATTATTTTCATATTGCCGGATTCAATTTGCTAATATTTTTGTTAGGATTCTTGCATTTGTATTTATGAGGGATATTGGGCTTTTCCTTTCTTGAATGTTTCATGTTAGATTTTGATATTAAGGTGATGCTGGTGTCCTAATGTGAATTACAAAGTGTTCTCTTTTTCACTTTACTAGAAGAGTTTGTATAAGACTATTTCTTTCGTACTAAATACTGAATGCTTTCCTTCTTACATAAGGAACAAATCAATTGTATTCAGCATTACACTGGAGATTCTAACTAGTACAATAAGGCAAGAAACAAATAAAATCATACTAATTAGAAATAAGGAAGTAAAACTCTTTTTATTCACAGAACCTGAGCATCCGTATAGAAAGCCTACTGAGTCTATGATGAAGCTCCTAGAAATAGTAAGTAAATTTAGCAGTGTTCCAAGATATAACATCAGTTTACAAAACTCAGTTATATATCTAAATATTAGAGACATATAATTAGAAATTGAAATTTAAGAAGACCGTTTATAATAACATCAAAGCCTGTGTAATAATTAAGGATGAATTTGCCAAAATGTGCCCCAGACCTGTACAGTGATAAGTATAAAAATACCAGAATGAAATTATAAGACATATATAAGTGGACAGCTATCAGTTCTCCCCCAAATTGATCTATTATGTAATCACAATAAAAATTCCAGAAGGCTGTATTTTCTAGATAAGTACAACCCAAGAATAGAATTTATAAGGAAATGCAAAGGAACTAAAAGAACAAAATCAAGTATAATAAAAAATAAAGTTGGACTTATACTATCCAATTTTGAGACATATTTATCAAGCTAAAAAATCAAGATGGTGGGTGTGGTGTTCACATGAAGATTGACAAAATAATTGATAGAACAGAGTCCAGAAAATACCCACAAATATATGTCTCTTTACCTCATGAAATGTAGTGTAAGTTACTTTGTTCTTTTTAAAGAATGCTCTGTATATCCTTGCTCTTAGTATTAGCTTGTCAGTTTTACAAGCAAATGTTCAGTGAAATGTTTCTAGTTTCCCTTATGATTTTCTTTTTGCCCCTTTAGTTATTAGGAGATATATTTTTTACTTTTGAAATAATGTGTTTTTCTCCTTGTATATCTTATTTTTATTCACTTCAAATATACTTCTATTATGGTCAGAGATAGTACTCTATAGTATTATTGTATTTGGAAATTTATTGAGAATTGTTGTATGTTCCAGCATATAGTTTTGAT